CGAATGAGCAGGAAGATTCTATTGGCCAGCGCGAGAGCCAACAGCTGACTGACACGAATGTTAACTAGCATGCTCGCATCCAAAAAAAATCGATAGCTGTATTCATCACAAGTGGGAAAAATTTAAATCTGCATGGCACTTTATTCCAATTGGCTCATTCGCTTGCTTAAACTCAACGTTGATTCTTATTCTGCAGAACTGGGTTGGATGTGAAAAAGTATTTGTTGTTAACATTCTTTTTTTTCATTCGTTTTTTCCAGTTACGAGTTCTTTTTTAAAGCTGATCGCTTTGTGTTCATTTTGTTTAGTTCTTTTTTCGGAACAGATTTAATGTTTAGTATAGAGCTTTGAAAAAAATTCGCAGTGTGATATAGGCAAGAAGTAAGGCATGTAGCAACATCATCACGGCAAAGGGCACTCCTTTAAAGGCAAGGAAGGGCAAAAATATTTTAAGTCAAGTGATAGCGATTGCTGTATGAGTCGTACGATTTTTGAATCAATTATACTTAGAGGTGCCCACCACTGGAGAGCAGCTACCCGAGGCCGCGTCCTCTGATTGCATTAGATAGATAGATCGGTGCTCGGAATGGATCACAACATTGCCCACGTGGCGACGACGTGATCATATTTAAACGGAACGCTGATCTTATAAAAGATTTCAGTTATCTGTTTGGATTGGTATTGCTTTTATGTCCATCGTCTTTTTCATGTTGAATTGTATATGGTCTATGTTAATTATGTTTTATGAATATGTCCTGGAGATGGTCTATTAGACCGAAACTTCCGACGTCGACATTAAGCATTAAAACAGCATCATCGCATATTAGGATTTTCGTTTGTTTTTTCAGTATATTTTTCTTCATATCTCTCTCTCTCTCTCTCAATATATATATATATATATATATATATATATATATATATAAAGAAGTATAGTCTTAAGGTGTGCTATATTTATGGGATAAAGTGCTCAATATCAGAGATAGAGCGTGTGTAAATATAAAAGTGAACATAGAAGTCAACACTTAGAGGCAACAGTCTGTTTCATGCTATATGCAATCGTGTGGCCTGACGATTGCATATAGCATGAAACAGACTGTTGCCATAAGTGTTGACTTCTATGTTCACTTTTATATATATATATATATATATATATATATAATGAAATGTATTAACTCCGACAATTATTATTTAATATATTTTTCTGTTTATACGTTATTTTGAATAAATACAATTTATTTAAGTCAATGATCTGTTTTTTAATTAAACAGTATTGCTTACATTTACCGGCCTGAATGATCGAGAAATTTCGTAGAAAAATATGCGTTCTCCGAGAGGAATCGAACATTCCTATACCGAAACTATCGTTTGATCTGACGTTCTAATAACATTTAGCTACAGGCAGGTAAATGTAATTAATACTGTTTAATTAAACAAAAGTAGAGCATTCACTTAAATAAATTATATCTCTAAAAATAACGGTTAAACAGAAAATATGCGAAATACTTGTCATATGTAATCTATTTCATTATATGTTGTCACTGTTTACGTTAAGTTACGTTTCGTGGGCACATATGATCGATCGAGAATAATCGTCGAATATTGTGTTTATAAAGAGTAATTTGGACTTTGCTAACCAGACGCTTCTCTGTAGCTAAATGGTATAGCACTTCAGATCAAATGACGATTTCCGTATATACCAGATATGTGTGTAGCATTGTCTTCCTGTGTTCCCAATTAGAACCAGCTGCTTATGAACAAGCAAGCACATCCATCTTATTAAATGACATTTTCTTTCAAATAATATTTACTTTACCTTTGTACCGGAATTTCCTTTAAATTTGTTTTTCTAAAAGTAATAATTTTATATTCACACAAATAGATAACGTAAATAGATAAATAAAATTCCAATATGGGCGGATCATAAGAAATAAATTATCGATGCTAAATAAATGAGCCAGACTAGCAGAGTTTGTCTTTGACACCTACGTATAAATGGGTCTCGATGGAAAATGTGGTTCTTGCTGTGGGTTGCAATAATAAAAAGTTTGAAAAACGCTAGAGTTCAGCTTGCAGCAATCATTAAATTGACTGCTCCTAAAGAAAAGAAAATGAACAAATTCTCAAATCTACAAACAAACTACCAAATCATTTAACCAGAGATACATTGGATGTGACCAGGTGGTTGGTGCACCAATCAAGAGGGCTTGATATCATTGGATGAACAAAACCATATTAGAAAGCCCGGCCATTATGCTACATAATTACAGAAAACCGGGAGATAAGGTTTGAATGCATTTAATGAGTACTGGAAGTAAGGGTGGAGAACTAATTAGTTTAAAAATGTAATTAGTTCTGAGAAATTAGCTGATTTGAGGAGAGCCTTAAGAAATAAAACTTGCATATTGGCTATGAGGTACTAACGTCGAACAGCTAGAAACGACCGTATGCCCCTCTGATACAACCGCCAAGTCGGGCAAAATTATATTAATAACTAGCAGGCTTCGACCGCTCGCAATCACTACTTGAAATCTTTGGAACAAAAATTTAAATGAATATTTCATTCAAAAATTGACTTGTTATAGTTAAGAAATGTTTTGCAAATGGCTGCCAACATGTTGAAGGCCAAGTAAAATCCAAATTCCAAACACTTTTCTGTACTATATAAGACGATATTCCTAAATAGAACTAAATCATACGAAAATCAAAATAATCCTCGAATAAAAGAACAGTAATGAAGGACAGTTAATTAATGAAAGAAACTTTTTTTAAAAATGAATATGCAAATTAGTTAAACCTGAAGAGTGATATTGCCTCGAAGTAGATAATATATAATACAGATATTGAGCTTTGAGGGTGTAAATTACTATAAAGTAGAGCTTGGGCTTTTAATCTCAGATTTGTGGGACAATTGAGGTCCAATTTCACTATTTATTCATATAAATTGTGTAATATAGGCTTTACGTAATTAGCTATTTCATCACTTCAAATCTTGAAAAAATGACTAATTCTAATTTTTGTTTACACTATATTATTTTTATCGTATAATTTGTCTCCAGTTTTGTCAACCATAAAATGAAGATAATTGTTTGTGCGGAAAATAAGGATCTACGTACATGAAATCGTCTTTAAGTTGCAGCAGAAGAATTATCGTTGAACTTTTAATAGGTAAGCTTAAACATTAATTCAGTACTTAAATGCAGCGGTCCATTTTGAGTTTTGTAGTTTATTGATGCCTATCGCATCTACTCCTCCCTGGCTGGTGTGATGATGGCCAAACTAAGAGTCCTCCACAGGAACTAGCCTAAAAGCCGACCGATAGGGTGGCCTTTACGCTAGCTTAAAATTTTAAGCTAGTTGCAGTTTTGGATACAAAAAGAAAATAAGAGTTATTCCCCTTGGACCATGAAAGCAACGATAATGGCTAGTATAATATATTAATATATATTTTTAACCTCGCATAATCTGTCAACTCTAAATCTGAGCTAATCGAAACTCATTCCCAGCGCCTGACTTTTCTAGGGCTTTTGAATGAGCTATGAATCCTTGAAATCGGACGAGTGAGAGCGGAAGAGTTGCTTGGACACAAACACGCACAACTACACACATACACTATACTTTATATATAATATTTACACACTTTGGCATAAAGATTTGTCCCGCATATTCGTATTATTTCTTATGCCTAATAATTTCGGAGTAAAGACAATCAACATTACATTGATCCTAAGAATAAACCCAGTGTTGTATAGGAATAAAGTGACGTTGCCGACACTGTAATTTGAACACAGATCACCAGTGGGCAAACATGGACGATTCCATTATTAAATAAGTAGATCACGTGATCTTAAAAGAAAACGTATAAATCGGAATTCGCGGGACGTCTAAGTGTTTGCTGTTCTGTATATGATCCACTATACTATTCTTTTCTATACGGATCATTATATAAATTGCTATTCATCGATTACTATTTGAACAAGTATTATTCGTGCTAGTATGGATCAAGTATGGCCGAGTGGTTAGAACTTTCACATTCTGACCATGAGACCCGGGTTCGAATCTCACTATGGTTGATTTGTCAGACTTCTTGATGTTATCAGTCTGGGAGGGGCGATCTCAACGCGCGACACTTTTAGAAAATGCCTGAACACCATGCCACAGTTTAACCCAAGCCTTTTGAGTGAAATTGGGTAAACGGAACCCTTGAGGGCCGTCGAAAGCTGTGCTAGCACGAAGTCACAACTCATTGTGACCAAGAGTTTGAGTGTGCTAGCCTTGTTCAGATTGTTGATCACGCTAGATAACCCGCTCTCTCCAAGAAACTAAGGTCTGCTCAGCATAGTTGCAGTGTAAACCACTGGTTGGCTCTGTGGGTGTTGTACAAACGCGTGCTTCAGCGAGCGTCTGCAATAGGGATTGGCTACCCGCCCTAACAGAGAGTTATCTTCGAATACGAGTAGCCAGCTATTATTATTATTATTATTGCTAGTATTATTTGAAGGCGTTACTGCTACCAGTTTCTTCATTTACGAAGTCTCGTCTACAACGAGAATTTTGTAAGTCATAATGAGCATTCGTTGACCTTTGCAAGAGTCACAAAACACAGAGAGATATATTTTGATTTGTAGTAAGGGAGTTGGCTTACTTGAGCTTATTTTATTTTACTTGTCCTTCTAATGTTTGCCCAATCCAAGACTCAAATGCCACTTAATGTAAGGTTCTTTGACTGATTTGTTTTTCTATGGATGATCAACAATTTTCACTGATTTTTTTTTCTTTTTTTTTTTTATACCAGAAAATATTTTCGGGTTGTAAAGATTATGTAGGATAGATTTACTGTGATACGAGCTTAATTAATTAACCTGTACATAGGGTCGGGAGAAGCGGTGTATTCGTACCTTTTACCAAGATTATATGCACCTAAGTGAATATAATAAACTCGATTCTCCAATTTCCAACTCCGAGTCGTCATCCATTACACCACTCGCACATCCATGCTTACTGTATCTGGCATTCCCAAGCAGTCACCCATATCAGTGGTGACCAGGGTCAACGTTTCTTAACTTCGGTGATCGTAGGAGAACCGGTGTTTCAACCTGATATGCCCATTATACAATTGAAGCTTTCAGGCTTACAGCACCTGGTATTTCGAAGCGGTCGCCCATCTATTTACTCACCAGAATCGACGTTGCTTAATCTCGCTGATCGTACGAGAATCGATATTTAAACGCGATATGGCCGTAAGCCTAATATATTACTTATACATTCAAGCTTACAGCTCCTGGTATTCCCAAGAGGCATTGACCAGGCACAACGTTACTTAACTTCGTTGATCATACGAGTTTCAACGTGATATGGCCGTAAGACTGTCAAGGTAGAGTGTGTGTGGAATTAAAGTATGAATTATTATGTGAGGAACATGTGGATATGAGTAAGAGGTAACATTTTATCCTAGGCAGCGAGCCGGGATTTATCCTAAGAAGAGGGTGCATATATTAAAGTAATTATTGGCAGAGGGCTGAATAGAGAGTCTATTAGTAGAAAAATGAGTGCAAAGTTACTACACATTCTGAGCAGCGGACCGTAAAGCGATACATTATTACAGTGTAGACGCTGTGTTACTGCGCAGACGCTAATCGAAGGCAGAAGAAAAAGCGACATTTTGCTTCAAAAAGTCGACTGACCCAGGCAAATGACGAATGCGACACACTTATCGTCGGTCAAGTATTGTAATGGTAATATTAGCCATTTCATTATAAGGAAATATTCGACATTCATTAATCACACGCCTAGTATTGCTGTTGGTTGAAATTTATAAAATCTTTTTTATTAAAACAGTTTTTTCAGGAAAAGGTGTTATTGCGCTTTCCATTGTTGATAGCGGTTTCCTTCCACCCTTTTATTTTAAATAATGTGGGATATCAACATCTCGGTTATGTAATTTTCTCTTCGAGTTAGACGTTATATTCATTTTAGCTGTTGATAAAAAAGATATTACGTTGCTACAATCAATAAATAAGAAAAGGATATCAGAATAGAATCATTGGCAAATGTTGTTAAAATGTTTGAATGATAAATGATCTGTAAAGAAATCGATGATACTGAACCAATAGTCAAGGATATGCGAACTTATTTTCAGATTTGTAGGAAAAGCGTAACGTTATTTTCTTCTTCAGTAATGAATTTCTTACCTTATTATTTATCTCTCAAATATTTATTTCTAGCAACATAATAAAAAATGTTCTCATATATTTAATAATAATTTTATACTTTTATTAGTTTTCTTATTTTCTTATTCATTGATTCGTTTCTATGATTGTCCTTAAAGTAATATTAAGTCAGAGTGCTACATTTGATAACAAACTGTTCAATCCTATATCTCGTGTAAAATATATATGGTCATTCCTTGTCATGGTAGAAGATTTATCTGCTGAAGTGATCCCAACAGCGAAAGGTCGAAAAACGGGGATTAGACTGAACTGAACCAGTCCTCAGAGACTACAACGGCGGAAAAGGCAAAGATTTACACAATCTCAAAGGCCAAACCGGGGGAAGAGGACAGCGTCACTCGAGTTGGCGTAACCAAGTTGGACCTTGACAGACCAAGCGTCCGACAGCCCGATGCAACCAGCTTTGCCAGATCTCGCCTGTCTTAATTCACTTTTTGCCGCGAGGGATACGCTTCTGTCCTGATGTGTGGACTTCTTCGGCGTGCAGAAATAAAAATTCACGCGAATGGCCCCATCAAACAATCTGTCACAGGCATTAGGGGAGAAAACGATAATAGAGAGAGAGGACGATGATCCCGGATGCAACCGGGTGCCGACAACAAAGGTTGTTGATAGCTCTCAAGTGATGTGGTTTCTATTACCTTTGCTTGTGATTCTGTAGCGCCAGTTCCCAGCTTTAATGAATTATGGTCTTCGCCAAGAAATACGGATTTCATTTAAAAAAAAAATGTTAATATTTTTTTTATTGTAATTTCTTCTCATTATTGTTTTCTACTTTTTTTCACTCTCAGTAACACTGCATTTGTTTGGCGTTAACACCTTGTTTGGACTAAAAAGATTAAAATAGATTACTAGGTTATACATGAAATAAAAAATAAAAGTACTAGGCTATATATAATATAAAATAAAATAAAATAATAGATTATATATAAAATAATATAAAATAAAATACTAAGTTATATATAAAATAATACAAAATAAAATACTCAGTTATAAATAAAATAGTATAAAATATATAAATAATATAAAGTAAATACCAGGTTATATATAAAAAATATAAAATAAAATACTAGGTTATATATATAAAATTATATATTATGTTCTATATAAAATAATATAAAATAAAATACTAGGCTATATATAAAATAATATAAAATTACCAGGTTATATATAAAATAATATACTAGGCTCTATATAGAATAACACAAAATAAAATACTCATTTATATATAAAATAATATAAAATAAAATACTAGGTTATATGTGAAATAATCTAAAATAAAATACTAGGCTCTATATAAAATAATATAAAATAAAATACTTAGTTATATATAAAATATAAAATACAATACTACGCTATTTATAAAATATAAAATAAAATACAAAATTAGAAAAAGATGACAAATAATAATTTCTCATCAGAAAATCAAACTGAAGTTATATTAAATGTTGTTGTTTTGTGTCAGAAATAGACAGTTGAGGTTTCTTTGGTACATAAAGAGAAAGGAGAGCTTGGAAAATCTGATACACACAGGACAGATTGAAGGCATGTGAGACAGAGTGAAACAGCGCAAGGCACACTTAGTGAGCTTGAGTAAGTGGATGGCGGAACAGAGTTTAGGAGTTATAACAGAAAGATGAAATTTATTAAGAGCTACAAGGAAGTTGTGGAGAGCAATGATCGCCTATGTCCTAAGGAGACAAGGGGTATAAAGAAGAAGACGAATGGCTGTATATTGAGTACAATTTCCAGTCGTATACTGTATCCTGTTTGTATCTAAAAAAAAAAGCCGTATCAATTCAAGTGACAACAGCGACCGACATTCCATAACAGTGATATATTGACGTCAATTCGGTGGTTTAGATATGGATGGAAAGGACGTGCCAACTGATACTCCGCAGATATTAGATTCAAATACGAGGATCAGAGCAAAAAGACCCTGAATATGCAGTACGGCGAAGACCAAAGGTCTCAATTCTATCTGTCTCTTCAAATAAAAGTCAGTGAATCGGATTCAGGCCTTGAGACAAAAGTCCAATGAAAATCACCGGATCGAAGACGAAGACGTCAAGTGACGGCAGCTGCCGAAGTTCGCAGAGCTTGCTATCAATACTTTGTCATTTTATCAGTGAGCCAGTCGCAATTCCTGAACGGCATTACGATGTATTTCGCCCGTATTAAGACAACTGAATGTAATTATCAAGAAATGAATAAATGAATGAATTGGCCGAGCGAGGCGAAATGGTGCGTAGGGTGAAGGAAGAGGTTCCATCGACAAACGGTCAGTTAACAGGATCCCCTCTTTTCCCAGATCACCTCTAAATCTACGCTTGAGGCATCTGACCATTTGGCGAGATTACCCACGTTTAAATGCGCTTCTCTTGAGATATGCCTCGTTTAATCGATTAAAATAGAATGGAAGAGGGCCCACTTCAATATTTGAATTTATTAGTGACATACATGTGGAATTTACCAGTATGTTCTCGACCTAGGAAGTTGAGTAAACTTCACCGGTGGCAAATTTGGTAGCCTAATTTGGCTCAGCAGCTGCCCATGTCTCTTGAGTTACAGAGGAGTTCCAATATCGTGCAAATCTACTCTTCTTTTCTGATTTCTTGCAATTTCTTGTTTTTATTTTCACAGGATAAAAGTTCATGGTTAATACGAAGAAGTAGGTTTCTAGCCTAAAATAATTATTTCCTAAAACGAATATATCTAAGCTTGAGTCATGAAAAATTTTCCTTATTTTTTTTATAAACAACTATCAGCATGGCCCGGCGTTCAAAAATCGTGCGACTCATACAGCAATAGCTATCACTTGACTTAAACTATTTTTGCCCTTCCTTGCCTTTAAAGGAGTGCCCTTTGCCGTGCTGATGTTGCTACATGCCTTACTTCTTACCTATCTCACACTGCGATTTTTTTCTAAGCTCTATACTAAACATTAAATATGTTACGAAAAAAGAACTAAACAAAATGAACACAAAACGATCAGCTTTAAAAAAGGACTCGTAACTGGAAAAACCGAATGAAAAAAGAATGTTAACAACAAATACTTTTTCACACCCAACCCAGTTCTGCGGAATCAGAATCAACGTTGAGTTTAAGTAAGCAAATGAGCCAACTGGAGTAAAGCGCCGTGCAGATTTAAATTTTTCCCACTTGTGACGAATGCAGCTATCGAATTTTTACATGCTATCATGCTAGTTAACATTCAAGTCAGTCAGCTGTTGGCTCTCATGTTGGCCAATAGAATCTTCCAGCCTATTCGTGGCAGCCAGCTATAGGCTCTCACACTGGCCAGTACAAAATGGCCGCAAAGTACAGGAAAAATGCCTTAGAAGCATGAAAAAATTTCCACTATCGATGGGAGTTGGGAAATGCAGAGTCGGTCTTGGCCTTCTCGCTAACCCTGCGTTCTATAAATCGAAGGTGGGTGACCGGAGGTAACTTGTATTTTAATTATTGCATTCTTAATAGTTACAAAAAATTTGGTATTTCTCGGTCTGTCTTTCCTGGTTAGTTAGTTTTTCATGTTGAAATATGCTATTCAGTCAGTAAAATTGGGGATAATAGTGAGGGCTATGTGCAAGGAAAATCTTTTTCTCCGATTCCTTCTATCAAAATTTTGCGGGGGGGTAGCTTCTAATGCAAGCTATCGTCTTATCAGCAGCGAAATACGGTATATTTAATTCTGTTATAATTTCAGCATTTTTTTGCAATGACTTGTCACCACTTCTGAGGCAAAACTGCGAGTACAATTCTGCCTTTTTTGATAAGCAAAATTCATCGAACGAACTTTTGAATCTGGTTTAGATAAAATGTTCGCCATCAAAGCGAATTTTGGATGCGATTGAAAAAGGTAACAATCTGTTAG